ATACAACTAATGTGTTGTGTTATATTAGCTGTACAATTTACCACATATGGTGTTCTTAGTTTCCATACCTCCTGTGTTTTACGAGCGACTTATCAAGTCTTGGCAAACGGCATAAAACACGATTAAACGTGATAGTATATAAAACCATGCTCGTATCTACAACCTATAGAAATGCAAAACGGCGTCAGTTTAGACGTAATTCTGTCCTCCTGCTTACCGCATCATTTATGAGAAAACATTTCCTAACATTAACACAACATATTCGAGGTGGTTTTAAATAACATATCCGTATTTATTTATTTCTCCAATTTATGTTTTTGTGTGCACTGAGGATTCTCAAACAGGCGTTTGTTTAATCATTTTAAGATTGGCTTTAATCAATTTGTGAAAATGAATTCTTCATATTTGATAAATGAGAGGTAACATTTTATTTATGGTATTATTTCCACATATTTCTCTCCATTCTTCCTTCTGCCAACGGTGTCGCAGTTTCTCGTCTCTACCGTTTGTGTGCTTAGTGCGTACGCATGGGTTAGAGTTTGCGTGGAGGACCGCACATTTTCCCGTCAATTTAGTATTTTATAAATTGCAAACATTGCGTAGAAACTGGCGTACGCAATTTTTTTTGCGTATATCCCTTTATAAATGAGGCCCCTGATCTCTTGGGATCTGGGCCGTTAGATTTGTATTTTCCTTAAATCCTTATGAAGTTGATCGCAGTACAAGATACATGCTGATTTACAGACGTATCTTTCAAGTCAATAGAAAAAAAAAGTATTTTGGACCGAATGAAATTAAAATGTTTGGCCATTGCAAAGATTTGCATTAATACCCTGCTTACTTTGGGCTTTGACCCTACCTGCAAACAGCCAACTTTATAATATCACAGATCTAAGACAAGGACAATCACAAGCAAACTCATGCGCTATGTGTGCTGTATTTGAGACACAGGGAAAGAGAAGGAAGGTGGACAAATGCACACAATATATCAGTAAATTATTAACGGCTTACTTGGTACTCTACTTTGTCCCTTTTTGACCCGCCTGTGATATTTTCTAATAACACCCAAACCGGGGCTGACCGTTTTGCATGTCCAAATAACACATACAATGCCCAGGGCCTCACATACTCAGGGTCGTCTTTTATTTGAACCAATCTTTTTATAGATATAGGGGAGGAGAGTTTGTATTTGCTAATGTAACCTGCCAGTCAGCGCGGGAGGATGAAAGCAGGGTCTTGTAGATGTCAGACTGTATAACCAACAGGGCAAACGCTACCCTCAGAAGCACTCTGTCCTACAGCTCTGCCAACTCATGCAGAAAAATAAATTCTCTTTCTGCATGATCTGCTGCTGTGTTCTGTCATCTATCATTTCTTTGCTTTCTGTCACTACTTAGTAGGTCTGTCTCAAACTGGTTGAACTATACTATATTCACTTGGTATTGTCCCCATACTTTTTGTGCCTAACCATTGTCGACCATAATAGTGCTTGAAATGACTTGAAAATGAAAGGCTCATTTATCTTCGTCCACTTACATGCAATCATGCTGAGTTACCATCATTCATTGTGAAAGAAACGATGATATTATTGTCTCTGTTTTGGGAGTAATGTTGTGGAGCCAGCCAGACCTCCATGTCATTAATCTTGTTGTCACTGTTACAAGAATGTTGTTAAAAATGGGCGAAAATACTTTAGAAATGACAAATTAGCCTGCACCTTTGTGATTTTATCCGTCCTGTCTCGTTGAGCTTGGTGATGAATGCTGCGATGACAGAAATATTGACTGTTACGTACTGAATGAGCAGGCAGCAGACACACAAAGAAGTACACAGGCCACATATAGAAAATAATGCTCCATTTATTTCACTGTCTGGTAGCTTCTGTGATCAGTAGTGTGGCACTAAGCTGAAAGCTGACAGTAGATCATTGACACAAAAAAAGGAAAACATAGAGGGGTGGGTACAGAGATGGGTAGAGAATATAGCGGCAGACAGAAGTTGACAGAGAAAGGGTAAGAACATAATATACAGAACCCTAACATTAGCAATTGCTACATATCCATTTTGATGTGAAATATTGTTACCTGAAGTTGATCATTTAGTATATCTAAGACTATTATCCAAGGGCCCTCGATTACCTACACCGCACAGAAAAGATTCTTAATTGTGAGTGAAGAAAGTCGGTAATTGTTTAATTTGCGTAACTGCTCCAAACAACCCCAAATTAATAAAACCAAAGATTCCAAACCACCATGTTCATGGGCATAATGTTTTACTAACTGTTCACTATGAAACACTCAATTTATAGTCGAATCCTTTCTTTGAAGTAGTGCTGCAGATGTCATAAAGAGTGGTCAAATATATGTTTTGGTTTCAGAGCTATAAGAAAAATGTTTTGTTACACACATGAGAAGCTTGAAGATTAACCAGATGAATTTAAAGAAATTGTAGTTTATTTGACTATATACATGTGAAAAACCTAGCTAAACATTTTAGGTTACGTTTCAAATGTATTTTTAGTAATTGTCAAGCTAACATCATGGTTTGATGTGACCTTTCTATTAGACTTCCATATGCCAGAATGATTGTTTGACAGTGTTTGTCTTACAAGCTAAATAAAACCAAGATGCCACATAAATAATGCGCACAACCATGAGGTGTCAAACAACAACAAATCCACATGGCTTTAGTATGGCACTATGTGCATGTGACTTACTGCATAAAGGTAACAGAGGACTCCTTAGCCATAAGCCCAACCAAAGATTTGTACAACCTGTACCGCAAAATATAACAGAAAAATACTTTATAACATTCAACCTATCAAGGAAATTAATGGAAAGTATGTTGTTTAATATTGAATGAGTATCAAAACACCTGAGATATGAGTCTGGTTTATGCCTCACAAGAACCACATATCAACATAACAACCCTGAATGGTGTGAGTCTGTATTTGTGGCAGAGAGAGAGAAAATAAATGGGCCACATTCATTTACCAATGCTAATAACTCTGTGACATGTTAGCCCAAAGGCAATGCTGTGGCAGTAAAACATGTACCAACAAAACATTACTGCCAATTCATTTGATTTGTTCATTTGTATCAAGGCCTTATTGCATATAGGTCGAATTGTTTTCCTTGCTAATCCGGTACAATGCTTAGTCTCTTCCTGTAGTATTACTTGTAATATCACACAGAATTTAGAAAGTTGCTATTCTTGCAAATTCTAATTCATTCATTGTTTATTACATATCCCCAAACCAGAAAATAGAGAGGTTATATCAACATGTTTAACAGACTGACACCTTGAAACCCTCAAGATATCAGTGTACCAATGCTTTTTCTACATTCCTAGAAGCTGATGGCAAGGCAGGTATCACAATATGACATGCTTTCAACGTTTATTTGCGTTTAGCTTAACAGAGAGAAGACATTTGGTAACCTGTAGTTCTACCTTTAATGGTAAATGAGAAATAAAAGTGAACAATACAAAATATTATATGAGCAATATTTTAAGTGGACTTTGTTTTTTCCTCCCTTTTTGTTATTGGGAACCTACAATTTTCTACCTTGCTTACATATAGTTTAAATTAACTGATCACAATGACATATTCTGTCTGTCAAATGTTATCCCACGTATTATTTTAAAAGGATAACTTTCAAGAATTCCTTTGATTCAATGTTGATAAATGAGGGCCCAGGACTCTGTAACTGCTGTTGTTATGCAAGTCAAAGGTTAAAGGTCTGCTCTCAAACGTAATGTTTGACTAATACACACAGCAAAAAACAAATAAAGATTACAGAAATACATCACAGAAATCTACCTACAGGCACTACTCCTATGTACTAACACAGCTTGCAAGGAGCTATGTTCCTGTTTGCCAAACTGTTTTTGAGTTGCAGTGCTCAACTAACAAACAAAAGCACGGTCCAATGCTAAAGGCGGCATTGGGTCTCTTTACTGGCCCATTATTTGCATGAACAAAATGTACTGTTAGGCATGAAAAGTATGTTTAGGAAAGGGCATCATATTTACATAAAGGCCCCCTATCTGTTCACAAAACACACAAAATACCTGGAGCTGACATTATTCCATCCTACAAACACCAGTTCTTGAGTAGCATCCTATCAGCCCCTGGTGGAGCAGTCACACATGCCCTGGCACAGACACTGGCAGAACCCATAGACCAGACAAACAGTCAGGCTTGATGGCACCAGACTAACACATACAATGCCCAGGGTCACTCTCTGGATCACCAATAAATAGATTCCTAGAGGCAGTGAGCCAAAGTATAAGAAACCCAGCAGCCAGACCAGGATACGTGGGACATGATTACACAACTTGGACAGGGCGTCCTGTTCAGCCGGTCCATTGGAGCCCATTGATACGGAGTCCAGGCTCTGCTCGGCATAGATGTCGGAGCTGCCATTTCGACTGGGGGAGTGCTGCAAGTCCCTCTGCACTTCCATTATAGTGATGACCAGGCAGTTTGATGAGTCATGGGACGGGCTTGATGAGGAGAAACTCGTAGGAGTCAGGACCACCTCCTTATGGTCGGAGCTCCAGGATTTGTCCCGCATCGCCAAGTGGGACATGATGATAACATCGTCAGGGAGGGCTGACACCTCGTATTCTGTGATCTCAGTTTGGTGTCGGCAAAAGGGGCATGAGATGAAGGCCGCCCCATCAGCAATGTCCAGGATTTTACCGAGGCAGCGGGCACAGACCCGGTGAAGGCAGTCCAGGATCTTAGGCTTGCGGTTGTGGGCATTGTAGCGTTGGTAACAGATTTTACACTCTAATTCCTCTGGTTGAGGGCAGTCCTTCTCCTCTAACTCAGCCTGAGGACAGCTCATCTTCAAGTCATATTCTGAGGAAGTTGAGAACAAAGAGACACAATCAGAATGAGGGTAAGAAGTAATGACATTGATATAGTCCAGCAATACAAAATACTTTGACTAGAACGTTGGAAATTGCACTGAAACACACTGATTTTTGCGACTGCTTTATCTCTACCCAGCAGAGAAAGGTCAGCAATCTGCCTTCCTCTCTGACTGCTTCTATTCCCTGAACCTGACGGTGATGAATGATTTATGATTTAGGAGTTGAATCTGGGTGTCATCCCAGAAGCCTTTGTGACATAGCATAGCCAGGAATGCTATTGATCTTTGCAAAGAGGTGGTGGGAACAGTGGCTCATTGAACATTTACGGTTAATTCGGGAATTCTGAATAGTATACAATATTGTTACAGATCTTCATTTAAATGACCTCAACCCTGACCCCTATATGAATCCATTTTTTGTTTGTTATATGGTCTGAATACAAAACTATTCAGAAATGAAATGTCAAAGTGTTTTCAAATGAATCATCCTTGGCGTGTATCACTACTACAGTAGCGCATGCCAACATCTTTTTGTGCTACTGTACATAATTAAGGCCTGATGTGATATATTTTCTGGCAGAAATCCTCAATCATCATTCATAAGATCTAATGATCAGTTGTCCATGAAGCATATATCCATACTAAGCAAGCATGTATTCTATATTCACTCATATTTTGAGTTTAGAGTTTTATTACAATTTCCTCTTTTTTTATCTTGCTTTCTCTAGCTTAATTTATGGTGAACTGGTTTTAAGCCTTTGAGAGTGAAACTGAAGTCCACCGAGAGGAAATGCTACCGTCTTCCTGATTTATTATGGCCATGTGTTCAAATGTGTATTGTAGAGTGGAAACAAACCCTTTGGGTAATATGAAGATTCAATAGTTCAACCACATATTTGTGAGTGACTAATATTCAGGGAAGTGTACAGTAACATTAGACTGATGCATTTGTACATGCTTGTATGGGATACTATGTTGATAACGTGGGAATCTCCTGGTTAAAAATGTGTTTGATGCAGTAGTAAAAAGTGAATAGATTGTTGGTTCAGTGGTGGTTTTGAGGTGGTGGACATTATGTAGTTCCAAAATGTGATGCCATGCACAAACACCCAAATAAAGCTTGCAGACTACAAAGACAAGTAGAATAGGTAAGCCCTTTATACCCTGGTGAAAAGGTTATCTAAATTAGGGTTTGACTGGGAATACAACTGACCACATGAGCAACTCTACATAAACACAAATAGCCAAAATATAGAAGAAAATAACAAAAATAACAATTCGAACTAAGGTCGATTACCCAATTACTATTCATAAAATGAGAGCCATTGTTTTAAAACTTCACCCCATGACAATCTTTTGTTTTGTAATAATGGTCATAAAAGACAGAAACACTGAGTTTATTCTCTGAGCTCAGTGAGTTTACTGGTCCAATCATACAAAAGCTAAAGAAGGGCAAGAAAAAATAAGAAAGCAATAACCAATTTAATTCTGCACACATTCTATCATGATACAGTGACTAGATCAATTTCCACCACTTTCACATTTTCTTTTTGCTTTTATTACAAAAGATATCTGAGCCATGATGTGTTCTCAGATAACCCACTACAAGAGGCAAGGTCTGAAACCCTTTTAGTAAGTAAAGCAAAACAAACACGCTGTGGTTTTCTTGAATAGTTAATTTGGCCTGGGAAATAGGTGGGATCATATAGAAAAAGGGCTGTTATTTTCCTATCACCAGTCCTGTGTATCCTGACATTAATGTAATTTTCTACATGCTGTATTGAATTACATATTCATATTATGTATTATATATTTTTAACTAATTAATCATTGAATTAACTTTGTTGCAATGTGACTTGTATAAAGTCTCTAGATGCAGAACATGAATAGTCTCTTCCATCAAAGACTATGTGGACGGTCATGTTTCCACAAACTATTTTTAAACTTGTTTTATTTATCATATAGTTGTATGCTTTGTGTTTGAAGATATAAGATCATTGTTTATATTTCTGGCCTATAAAGATGAAATGAGTTAGGAAAGAGTTGGCCCACTTCCCTTCTGTCACTATGCTGAAATGTGACTCAGAGAGTGTGCGCCCTCACACCAGAGCTGGGCGATATTGAACAAATTAAACATCACAATACCTTTTGACCAAATACCTCGATATCGTTATTAGGGTTAGGGAGCAATTGGTGGCTCTATTCAAATGATTTACTTACAGCTTCCCAGTTCTTTGGCTCCCTTGCAAAACATTTTCACAGAAATTCAACCTTTCTTTTACTCTGAAGTATCGAGGTTCACAATGTTTTGCCTTAAATGTGCAACTTACAGTACTTGACTCATTAACGTCTGACAACCCTGCCAAACTTTTACGAAGAGCTCTGAATTTTAAAATCAGAAACAGATTCAAAACCTACTATATGTTTTTTAAAGTATTTTGCCCAAATCCGTCTCCATTGAGGGGCATGAGAGAACAGGTACAAGTCCCATAGTGGTAAAGATAGGGCATTCAAAGACGTAAGCTACATTGCCTCTATCGTCCTATTATGTTTATTACTGGATGTGGACATGTTTTGTCTCAGTGTGGTTGGAGGTCTTCATTGGGTCAGAACTATGTGTCCCAGGTGGATCCCAGTCCTGGCTTGAATTGTAGTTTTGGGGCTGAGTTCTGGTTCTCTCAACGTTCAGGGTAGTCCTGTCTGCTCTAACATATATTTTGATCAGCTCCCCGAACATGCTAGCAGTTTTTATTACTTTGGATATCTGCTCGGATGGTCCATGTTTTTTTGTCAATGTTTGTATGGTTCAATAAAGGTTAAAAAATTTACAGAAATTAGAAATCACTGAGTGCTTCCATTTTTTACGGTTTGCGGAAAAGGTAGGACCCAAATGCAGACGATAAAAAGGTAAAAGGTCTAGAAAAAAAAAAGAAGCTTTATTTAAAAGCTGATGAACATAAATATGGCACGAAAAAACACAAATAGCACAAGGTAGCATTAGCAAACAAAACTGACCGTGACCAACATGGAGGAAGACAGGAAAGACAAACAATGAACCAACACCGAACACAGGGAGAGACAAGACTAAATACAGGGAGGGGTAATCACAAGACGAGAAACAGCCGGGCAGGGGAGGAGAAACACAAGGGGTGGCCCTTGTGTTTCTCCTCCCCTGCCCGGCTGTTTCTCGTCTTGTGATTACCCCTCCCTGTATTTAGTCTTGTCTCTCCCTGTGTTCGGTGTTGGTTCATTGNATAAACATATAAAGAAACATGTGAGTTGTCTGACTGAACTGATGTTGTTCCTCTTTGGAGGACCATCTTGTTCTAACTGCTTGTGGGAAATTAGCTTCTGATTAAATGAGGAAACAGACAATGCACATTTGAGCATTTGCTGGATGTCTGCTAGTTGGCAGTTACACAACTGATGAATCCCAAGGTAGTTCCACTCCAGTTAGTGACATGGGAGGCGTATCCTTCAATATATAGTACAAGATTCCACAACTGTTTTCAGATTGTATTATTTGTTCAGTACATTTTAATGGCCTAAATAGCTTGTTTATGTTTTAAGGTTGTAGTGACATCTTATAATCATTTATTCAGACTTACTTTATTCTTGTTTTTCTTGTGCCATGTTATGAAATTGTGCTTGTGTTTCTTTGTCATGTAAGAATGAAGGACGTTGCTAGTTAATTTCATAGCCCAATTGAGCCATAGTGAAAAAGATTGATTGCATAGAGGACTACAGTTCGCATTAATGATTACTGTAAGTGCAATTTGCAACCTAGACAACGGGCTAACTCAAGATGTTTCTATGTGCATCCAACATAATTATTTAAGATGGACGTCTGTATCTTGCTCAAGTACACTGGTAGCCTCCTCAACCATTGCAAAGCCAATCTCAACATGCCATATGAAAATTCCAATTCCAATCTCCCAAGTGTTTCCATAGATTAATGGAATAACCCAGACAGGAAGATGTAACTGGATACATAATGACCTTGGAGAGCAAAAACACAATTTCCTCCATTCCATCATCAAGGCTCTACTCCAATCAGTTCCTTAAATGTGGGGTATGTAACTTTGGAGAAACCAGCTCGAGTACGCTAGAATTTGAAAATACACAACCGGAAAAAATCTGCCTCTTCCTTCAGACTTCCTTACAGAGCCCCTCCTCCAACACACACGAATGCGCACATGACCAATGAGGGCACGAGCTAAGTTTGTGCACAGATGGAAGGCTAACAGGCAGGTAGGCCATCCAGTTATTTTAGCCGGGCCGGCTAAAATGATTGGTCGGGCTTTTTACAGTACTACAGCTTCCACAGATGACATTTTTTTATGTATTTATTGTCAAAGCATTTAATATATTCATTGCTATCGGGATGTTAAGAGCATTCCATGGAATATAAAAAAAAAGTGTTTCTGAAAGAATTTACATACCCCATCTTTAAGGTCAGCTTCGGTCCACCTACTCATGACACATATTTTTCTTGGAGACAAACTAATTAGTCAGTCGATTTTTCAATAATTCAGTCAACCGGAGAGAAGATTGTTAAGTAGTACATAAAAACACATATATTCATACATGTGTAACGCAACACTGGGCAGATGTTGTACTACATTAAAATATAAATGCATACATTTGAAGGCTATAAATGTAGTATTTTCAAACACATTGCTTCAATTTCCATGTGGGTTTTATCATATTGCTGGGACTCAAGGTAAATTATTTGCTAATCAACCACTCAATCACTCCATTGGTTATCAGCTGCAGTCCATTTAACACCAATTAGATTCCATCTGCCTGTATTGAACAATATGGTCGCAAGCATATTGAAAAATTCAAGCTTGAAAATATACTTTCAGAGAACTATGAGCAACCTCAAAAATGCCTTGTGTTTAATTGTTGTTCCCTATAGGCTACACTATTCTGATTTAAGATTTGTTTTCCGTGGCAGTACGAGAGTGATTCCTCATGGGTAGTATGTGGATTGTGTTCATAAACCTTTCAACACGAAGCCTCTAAGCAATTTTAAGGTTCAGAAATTAAGAATATGGCAGCAGATAAAGAATGTACAACTATTTCTAGTTGTTGAACCAGAGCAGCCCGGTGGAAATGTGTGTTTTCCCAGGAGACAACATCCATCTCCGCAAATGGTTGGGTAGTGATGGAATAGCCTGTGGTGATCAATAGATTTCCACAAAGAGAGGTTCCCCCTTGCTGATCGTGAATGTCAAAACTGCACACTTGGCTTATTATAACTCAACTCAAACACCAGGGTTTAGCTCTACGATCAGAAGCTAATAACAATTATTTTAAGAGTCAAAAATACATTATACAGCGTCTCTACAGCAAAGTGGTTACAGAATTGCAAGATCTAATTTTGTTATGTTCTTATGTTTGTTCCTTTCGGGACTCTATGTGGTCTGTGTTTTGTTTTTATGTTAACCTTAATGTCTACCTCATGTTGTTATGCATTCATGTTTCTGTGGTCTTAATTTTAACTTTTGTTCTTTCTTGTGAAGCACATTGTGAATTTTATTTCTGTGAAAGCTGCTATCATCATCAGCTTTTATTTGAAGAGACTCTTGGTCCATTATTAAAAGACATACAACACTTACATTTTAGTTTATGATGGTTAACTCGGTCAAAAGCCTTAGAGGCATCAATAACACCAATCAGAGCAGTGGAATTCTGTCTTCTATATGTTTCTACCATTTCCTTCAAAGCATAGATGCATAGCTCAGTACCATGCTTAGCCTTGAAGCCAAACTGGTTATCTGAGGTACATAAATAAGAACATAATCTATCCAACAAAATTCTTTCCAGGACTTTGGATAACACACTGGCTAGAGCAATTGGTCTATAGTTATCCAAGCTCCCTACCTTGCCCGCTTTGTCCTTAATGACAGGGACCAAAGTAACAGTCAACATGGACAAACACAAAATGGTTTAAAAATTCCCTTAAAACATTGTTAATGAGTGCTTGAAAAACTCCTGGAGCATTGGTGAGAGACCAAATGGCATGACGAGATACTCATAGTGCCCTGTGGGTGTGTTAAAACCGGTATTCCACTCATCCCCCTCACAAATTCTCACCAGATGGTAGGCATTACGCAAGTCTAACTTGGTAAAAATGTTAGAATCTTGAAGTGATTCAAAAGCAGTAGCCATGAGGGGGGGCGGATACCTGTTCTTAACCGTAATGTCATTTAAAGGAGAATAATCAATGCATGGCCTAAGGGATCCGTCCTTTTTTCCCACAAAGAAAAACCCGCCCCACGCCGGGGAGGAAGACGGGCGGATCCGCGGATCAGACCTGCACGAAGAGAGGTGTCAATGTACTCCTTCATAGCCTCCTTCTCCCAGGACCCCGAGATGGAGTATAACCTACCCTTCGGAATTGGAGCGCCCCAGGTAACAGATTGATGGGCACAATCATACGGCCTATGAGGAGGAAGGGAGGTGGCGCTCACTTTACAAAATACCTTGGCCAGGTCATCGTAACAGGGGGGAACAGAAGTTAAATCTGGGGTTGATTCTTGCGGTCCAGGGCTATGTTGAGTATTAGTAACCCCGATTCGGGTACTACATTCCCCAGAAAACCCTCCTGCGCCCATGTTTCCCACACACTTAAAACAATCCTGTGAACACCACTCCTGCCCACCCCTTAATTTTACCTGACCGCCAATCAACATAGGGGTTATGCTTTGTTAAGGCCAGGGAAAACCTAGGATGAGAGGATGTTGAGCAGCAACTTAAACAGGTGAAACGACATGAGTTCACAATGATCATCAATCATGATAGTGACGGTTCGGTCTTGTGTGTGACATGAAATAGAAGTTTGCCATCCGAGCACTGGCTTTCAAAGGGGACGACAAAAGTTCAGTATTAAGTCTCAGTTCATGAGCTAATCCCCATCCATCAGGCCTTTCGTCAGCCCCAGAGTCAATTTAACACTTTTGAGAGTTATCTTTTTTCATGGCAGATTACCTTTATGTTGGTCAACTTGCGGGGAGGAGAGTCTGCCGTGGAAAGACGGCTCACCAGTTGCCCCTCCCTTTCACTGGTGAGCGCCGTCTTTTACCGGGGCCATGTCCAGAGAGAAGATGACCTTGTTGGACGCAGTAAAAACATCTTCCCTCCAGCAGGCGGCGCCGCCGCTCTCTGCCGTGGACAGCTTGGCACGTCCCAGCTGCATTGGGCTCCCGGCCTGTGTTGGGGGACGCTGATCTCTGGGATGATGAAGGAAAGAGGAAACGTGGCATGGCACGTCCGCCTGAGAGTGAGAAGAGTAGGAGTGCGCCTCTAGGGTGGAATATAGGGTAGGTGCCAGCCCTGTCCTCTCCCCGTTCCTCTCAGCAAGTCTGGTTACTATCCAATCCTTGATTATTGGACGCGCGCCCACATGGCAATGAGACAGGAGTCTAGTTCCACTGGCAAGATCCCAAGGGGCCCAGCTGATCCGTTAAATAGGGTCAGAGAAAGTCCCATTAATAAAGGCATCGAACAGCAATCCGAGCAGTCACAGCCACTATCGCCGAATGTGCCAAATTCCAGCGCCAGTACTGACACACGTGTCTTCCTTGACCACTTGTCATGTAACGGAGGCCGTGCTTCCTGCCTGTGGGAGCTGTGGCTTACATTATAGCACGACTACCGACAACAATGTTCGTCACGGAAGATCGCATAAGTGTCGGCCGAGTCTTATGGTGACCCATTCAGCCGTGCCACCGCCGACGCTGGCGTCCGGGTGCTACGGCGAATGATCACGAGTCACCCTGCGATATGCCGAGTCCGTGGGACAGGCTGTACGCGGAACGTCTGATCGACATGTAGGCCTCACACGTCACCAGGCAGGGAAGCAGCATCAGATTGCTCCTTGACACTTCTCAAGAAGACGCAGGTGCGGTCAGACACGGTTGGAATGGCCGGCCGCACCATGCGTGCCGCAGTTGCGCTCGGGTCTCTCTGGAGGTTCAGCTTGAGGTCGAGTGACAGGTGGTGAACCCTGTCGGCCGCCAGGCGGTTAATCGTGGATTGACTATTACAGATGTCGATCAGCCCCCTGCCAGTCTGTGACG